GTCATAATCATCAAAATTTCAAGAAATAAAGGCTTGAAATATTTAACTCTATATGTAATGAGTCTATATAATATATGGGTTTCACTTTCTAAAATGAGTGACAAAAAATATTGACCTTTTTCATGATATTCTAATTTTTTGAGATGTACCTGTATCTACATCACTATGTGGGATGCCGTTCCTCACGCTAGCCCCCGTCTTCTGCTCACTCTAGGCCGCCGTGTGTGACGCTGTGTTACGTTGTGAAAGCGAAACTACTTTGTTTGGCCTTCCAAAAATGGACACGACTAGAAATCAGTGGTTAAGTTGTATTTACAACACTGTTCCAGAACACTTCAACCCAAATATTCAGATGTGTGCAGCACATTTTATGGAGGACAGTTTCCTGAGTATAAGTCATTATAATCCATAATTATGTCCCCACTGGATGCAACGAATGCCTCATTTATAACGGGTTTCCATGTTTTTGAATCATCGCTCTGGCCTGACAGGGCATCATCACAGTATGGTGAGGGGCGTAACATTTCCATCACACGCTTAAGGTATTCGGCCAATCACAACGAACTGGATAGCTGACCAATCACAGCACACCTCGCTTTTTTAGAACGACGAACTTTGTAAAAATCTATGCATTTCAGAAAGGCGGGGCATAGAGTAGAAACGATAATGTACAGTATGTGGAAAATAATGTGTTTTTTTAACCTTAAATCGCATAAACACATTTCATTACACCAAATACACAAAATAATGTTATTTTTAGCAGCATCATATGACCCCTTTAATGATCTGACCCTAATGTTTTTATTAGCAGAATTATGGAAATGTTTTATTAATATTATGTGATGCCTTGATTGTACTGTTTATACTATTTTGTCTACTTAGTAGTCAGACATTATGTTGAGTATTTTTATACAATTCTATTCATCTTTATTTATCCACACTGCCTACTCAACTCATTGTCTTGTAAAGTTTGTGAACTCCATCAACATAGAACCTCAATTTGCCCAAATATGGCAAAAGTTGTATTTTGTATTTTCAGCAGTATACCTTTAAAAGGGTTTGTTGAAGTAGTGGTGTCTTGTATTGAATTCTATTTTAGTGTATTAGTGTATAATGTATTTGTCTGGACTACCTTGGAACCTTGAGTTATCAGGTAAGACTTTTTGTCAAGTTCCTCAGCTTCCACAAGCTTGGGGATAAGGGGGTTTTACTTGCTTAGACACTTGGATTGGGTCCTTCTGGTTGTCTCTGGCTTTATCTCAGCCCGTTAGTTCAGCAAAGTAGTTTTTCAAAGAGAGAAGGACTCGGCATCTGTGGGATGTTGAGAGCGTTACTGGCTGCAATTTATAATCTCCTGAACTTGGAAGCATGGCATTATGCTATGGATCCTTTGTTATATGTGATCTAATATTTATCTTGTGGTGGCCATTAAAAGATGCTAATGTGAGGGGTTTGCTCTTTTACTTTTCTTGTGGTATTCCAAATGTGAATCTGACAATCAATAACTGCTTGTAAATGTACAAACATTTCATGTCATGTGTTAAGCATCTACGCTGGTTATTTCCCAAATTATTTTCTTGATATTGGGTATTATTTGTTATAGAGTAAGCCATTGTTTTCAAACATCTTTTTGTCTTATGTTACCTCCACAGCCCCAAGCTACAGTAACGCTTCATTAACCAAACATGAAATGTTCATTTTAACTCCTATCATTAGCTTTAGCATTTTACACATACACATGTCATGTTTTTTCTATAGGATATCTCTTGTTGGGATTTACTTTTCCCTAACCTTTTAACCTTTTTTTCCCCTTCGTGAACCAATTATCTGCACACAAATCAAAGTTCCTTTATGTTAGCAATATTAGCTTGTCTGAAAATGTTCAGCAAGTATTTGAAGAAGCTCTATGCATTAATCATATTCTCAAAGAGGTGTCACTCAGTTCATAGCAGTCATAAATCGCTCTTAATGTTCATGGCAGGTCCTGTCACGTCTCTGTTTATTCCTAATGTGCTTTAATTTTTACTGCATGACATTTTGAATCTGTTTTTCCAAGGTGTTGTCTATTTTTCCTCAGATGTGCCCCAGGATATACTGGCAATCCCCAACTTGGACAAAGATGCACTGAAGTCAGCAGTAATGGTGGTAATACTGGCAAAAATAATGTTCTGTAACAATTTTTCCTAAAATTATAAGTACAAAAAGATTTAAATAATTATACAATTAAATGAAAATGTATCCTACATTCAAATACGTTACTAATATTTTACAAAATTAAAAGTGTATTTAAGACAAAATATGTTTATAGATTGTTACCGCTGTGACCAAAGTGGTAGCGAAGGATGTAGCGCAACTGGAATCTGTCGCTGCAAGGTAAGAAAATAAATGTTGTTTTTTTTTGTTTGTGTGTGTATTATTTGCATCACATCTATGAAAACTCAAGTTTTAAAACATAATTGTTTTTACTCAGATGAAAGTTGAGGGTTCAACATGTTCCACTTGCAAGCAAGGGACCTTCTACCTCAGTCCTGCTAACAAAGATGGCTGTCTGTCCTGCTTCTGCATGGGCGTCACCCAGCAGTGCTCCAGCTCCAGACACTATAGAGATGTGGTAAGGCCTGATGAGTTACACCAGTGCTTTTCATCAGTCGGTGTAGGCATATGTTCATTTCCTTCCTTTTTTCTCCAGATTTCCACCATTTTTGCCCCTGGCAACTACCAAGGTTTTGCTCTTGTAAACCGCCAGCGCACCAACCGCATTGACAGCGGCTTCTCCGTAGAGCTGTCCACAGATGGAACACAACTCTCCTACACTAACTTTAACTATCTTGGACAGGAGCCACACTATTGGCAGTTACCCAGTGCCTATCAGGGAGACAAGGTAGAGTCTGGCAGCGTTATGTATTTTATCATTCTTACAAGTCTTTGTGTCTCCCGCTTTGAGTTCTCTTCAAATGGATTTCTTTCTGCAAATGCATGCTGCCAAGACCTTTTCTTTCAAAATGTACTTAGTCAGGGCAGCTCTTCTACTGCTTAGAAATGTTTTCATAGTGGTTGGAGTCTACACAAAGGCTATAGTACTGTAGGTACCAGTGTCAACAAATTGTGTTTGCTTAGGCTTAATTTGACAGATGTGTCTTTTATATTTAGATTTTTTCATTGTTTTGAATGCGATGCACTGATTTAAGTGTTTCTGAATCTATATGCCTTTTTTAGAAGTCTTACTCTGCTCGAACTAGACGAGCACACAAGGTAATCCTTGCAGGTTCAAAGAGTGATCGTGTTTGTTGAAAGTGTGTCTGATGTTGGCCTGTCATATTTCTAGAATTAGAATAATGCATGAATGGGTCATCTGAGCATTGATCTTTTCAGAATGCATATTTACTCATGTTATGGTTTTATTTTGCCTTGATCGTGATTTGAAGTGCATGGGATTTCATCATAGACACATTCTGACTGCATTTTTAATCATACTAAGGCCCTGTTGACACCTAGTAACACCATGGGGCCACACTTTTTTTGTGATTTTATAATTTAGAATTGAGGGTTTAACATCATACACTCGTAAATGTGGTGTCTGAAAAATGGCATTATCAAAGTCTTAAAGAAAAATGAAATGACTCAAATGAAAGTGGTCAGTGGCTTTTTGCTTGTATTCTTTTATGTAGTCTTTAAGCTGTCTAGAAATACAAGTCATACAGAAATGGTACATAAAGAAAAGTAACTAGTTCTTTGTAGTTCATTAGTTTATCATTTAGATTTTGTAATAAGATTACAGAAATTGTTTTATTCACAAAACTAGAGAGACTCCCTATGGATAAATGACCAACTGAGAAGGGACGTCGCTGCATGGCAGCTAATGAACGATATGGGTAAAGACCTCTTAAGGTCCAAAAGAGCCACTGAGGTATTAGTTCACTTTTACGGTTAGTTCTTACCACTGACCTGAATCCTAGAGGCACTTCAACAGTGTGACACCCTCCTGTTTCACATAACTGATGGATATTTCTTTAGCAACAGAATGTACTAAATTTAATCTGAAAGTTGGAACTCCCTCTAATTCTTCCATGCTTTTAATAAACTGACCGCTGGAGAGTTTGCACTGAAAATTAAATGCTGGAAAACGGACATATGCTGAACTTCCAGTAGAATCAGTGAAGGTCACAAATATCTTCATGCATTAACTTCACCTGTAGATGTTTGAATTAAAAGCGATAAAACAAAATTTGAGAGAAAAAACTGCATGAAACAAGTTGAGGTTGGAAGATATTTAGCTGTTTATGAGTGACAACACTTAAACCGAATGAACACTTTAGGTGAGAGCATACGTGGTATCCTGATTCTTACACTGAGCACTTCCCTGCATGCATTTAATCATCTGTTTGGCTGCATGTCCCGTTCTTTCCTTAGTTTTGGTACATCTGTCTCTTCATTCTCTCTCTTTGGCTTTGCTTATACTGCACAAAAATCTGGTTTGTTTTTCCGGTCCGATCTATAGGAATGATTGTTCACACTCTATGAGTGATCATCTCTGTTTGATCCATTCATTTGTTTAGACTCAGTGACCATGTGTCTACCGTTAAAAAAATTGTTGTCAGTACGATTTTTTTTTTCTTGAAAGAAATACTTTAATTTCAAAAATAATATTTTATTTAGCAAAGATGCATTAAATTGATCAATAGTGACACTGAAGGCGTTTATAATGTTTCAAAATATTTGTTTAAAAAAATATGTATTATGGTTTCCACAAAAGAAGCATCATAACTGTTTTCAGCATTGATAATAATAAGAAATGTTTCTTGAGCACCAAATCAGTACATTAGAATGATTTCTGAAGGATCATGTGACACTAAAGCCTGGAGTAGAATTCAGCTGTCATCACAGTAATGAATTAAATTTGAAAATATATTCAAATAGAAAATGGTTATTTTAAACTGTCAATATTTCTCAGTATTACATTATTAGCAAATAAATGCAACCTTGGGGAGCATAAAATCTTTTTCAAAAACATAAAAAAATCTTCCTGATCTCAAACATTTCAGCAGTAGTATTCATTGATTACTATAATAATGACTATACTGTAGCATCAGCCCAAGAGATTTTCTCAAACAACAAACCAGAGGCATTTCACACGTGTACTGTGTCCAACTGCTAACCCATTCACTGTTTGAGGAAAGAGTGAGCAATAGTGAATGTACTTGAACATATCTGTAGCTCCAGACATTTTTGTAAATGTTTTCTTTTAAGGGAAAAAAATATTTTAATCTGATTTCTAAATGCATCCATTAAAACTCTACTTTTTTTTAAATCATCAAAATGAAAAAAAATGAAACAAACTGAATGAATTTGAACATACTAACTCTAGTATTTGCTGCCTGTCTGACTATATTTCCTGTTCCATCCGTTGTCTTATTCTCACTAGCATCCTGCTGATGAAGTACGCAAACTTGATGATGAAATCTGGTCAATCATCACTAATTTCTCCAATGGGCAGTCTCCCTTCTCATTCTCTTCATCCTCTCAAACTTCCCATTCTTCATTTGATGCCCAGAGTTCTCTATCTCGGTCAAGTGTGCGTGCCCCTTCTTTCCATTCTAGTATAACTTCCTCTTTAAGGGCCTCTGAGTCCCATTCAAACGACCCAGGCCATTCCTCTCACCCTGACTCATCTCAGGTACTGTATGCTCTCACTGGTGGCTTTCACGCAGGTTCATGTTAGGATTACACTAGGGCTAGTCATCAACTAGTCATTCAATGACAGACTAACTGAATAGTGACTCGTTTTAGATTTGTCCATTATATTGTCCTGTGCTGTTTTTGAGCGTCTCACATTGTTTCAAAGGCATATTTCACTGTAAAAATTGAAATTGTCATAATTTACTCACCCTCATTCAAAACCTGTATGACTTACTGTGGAACACAGTGGGAAAAGTCATTGGGTCCCATTGACTTTAATTGTAAGGACAAAGAATCCCCCCCCCCCCCCCAGAAAAAGGGGGGACAACTTTCTCTTTTGGGTTGACTCCT